CCTTCAGCCGGGCTCAGGGGCGCAGACTGGGGATTCCTTCCGCTCGCCCCTGTCCAAGGCAAAGGGCACTTGTCACACAGCTCCCCTGGGCCTGGGCTGAATCCCCCTGACAGGTCCGGTGCTGCTCTGCCAGCTCCCGGCCCCCCCCCCGGGGTCCCTGGGCTGCCCAGCCCAACCATACCCGTGCCGCTGCGGCTCGGGCTGGGCCCTTAGCGGAGATGTTCTGCTGTCCCCTGTGGGGAGCGGAAACCCAGCAGCAAGGCCTGCCTCCAGTCTGTCAGAGCTGGCCTGCCAGCCCCTGCCTACCCCCACCCAGTCAGGATTACTAAAATGGATAAAGGTTTCCTTTATTTCTGCTCAGAGCTCAATGAAGCCACATAGGAAGAGACTGGAGTGAAATGCTGGTGATGACGAGTGTTCAGGTGTTGTAAGGAACAGAGAGCAGAGGTACCTGATTTTGAAAGTGGTTGGGAAGCGTCGCTGCGCTAGAGGAAGGATCGCTGTTGGAACTTGACAGCATTTCCAGAAGCTGCATTCACTGGCACAGAGCTGGGAGTCCTGGGAGGGGTTAGAGGTGGATAAGCAAACAAGACCTTTTGTTTTGTTTTGTTTTATGCCAACACTGGAGCTTTCTGATAGACCTTGCCAGTTGTAAATCGCAGCTGAAATTAACATCCTTGAGACAGGCTTGATGACAAGTTGTACTCCCTTGGTTAGGGCTACTGTGCTTTTCAGAAATATTACCCATCACTTCAGAAGCTCTGTTGCTGGAGAATTTAAAATAAATGGTGTCTGACCTTCCTATTCTGGAAGATACTTCAGCCAGAGAAAAATCTGTTCTCCAGAATTTGCAGCTGAACAAATCTAATGGTGCTTCTTCTAGCAGCAGATGAAAATCATCACTTAAAGCTGTGAAGTAACAGAATTTCTCCATGTGCATGTTGCAGTTCTTGCCCCTTTGAGCAGCAGTGTCATCATCCGCAGTACTGATTCCTGGAAACTTCAGCTGTTAAATATAGAGGTTATGAGATTTGGGCAGGCGTGAATAGATCATTGATGGCTCTCGCTCTTCTGCATAGTAAGCCTTAAGTGTCCAAAAAGAAAAGGAGATGACTGGTGTTCTGTGTGTGCTTAGCAAGGACGTAGCCTTCTCTTCTGCAGTTGGTAGGAGACCATCCTCATGCTTTTCTAGCAGCTAGGCGAGACTTCTATTTTAGAATTTTTCCTGTACTTCTTGTAACAAGAAGCCATCTTGTTTTCTTTCTTTAATGAAAGATGGGAACTTTCCTACATCCTGATTATTAATTTTTTTTTATTTTCTGATCTACTGTTCAAAATACAGCTCCATTTTCTCCATTTTGGGTAATTCTTACTGTGCTTAGGAGTTGTATCGTCCTCTGCCACCATAAATTACCGCATGAAAAAGGAATGACGTCAATAAGAACAGCAGTGAGTTCATGTGTTCACCCTCCCAGAAGGTCCAGAGAAGCTGTGGATGCCCCGTTCCTGGAGGGGTTCAAGGCCAGGCTGGATGAGGCTTTGAGCAACCTGGTCTGGTGGGAGGGTCCCATGGCAGCGGGGTTGGAAGCATTCTGTGTGAACCACTGGTGGGGTAGTTGTGTGCCCGGTGCTGTGCTACTGGCAGAGTGTTGGTAAAGGAGGAGCTGCTGGCTGCTGATCGTTCTCTTCAGTAGTTGAAAGACTGGTTGGAGGTGGGTGACATGGCATGGTAGAAAAGCAAAGCAACCTGCATCAGAAGGAGCCTGACTATGGAAATGCTTTCCTTTTTCTTTCTGCTCAGTACAAGTTTAATTCCTTTGCATTCTGTGGCTTTGTCTCTACTCCATTGGATAATAATGAACTATAATGACTGTAAAGTGACAAAGGGAGAAAAAAGTCAAAATCCTTAGTCTGGCATGTGTTGATGTTTCTAGTCTATTAGAGTCTGTGACCAGCTGCCTTTTTCCAGTGAGGATGAGGTGCTGATAGAGACTGCAGACCTGCTGCAGGAAACTCTCCATGTGAATAGCACTGAAAGGGAATAATGCTGCTGTGGAGACTCATGGATTACGCTACGAAACCGTCCTGAAGTCCTGCCATGCAGTTTTCTTTGAGAGAGAGGTGTTAGCAGGGCTGCTCTGAATGTGGCACAGTGTATTCTAGTGACTGCTGCAGTGGTGCTGATGTGAAACCCTGCGCTCACTCAGCTTCACTGAAGTCTTTGGCAAAGCGTTGGATGACTGAAGGGAAGAAGGAGCAGAGCTTAAGTGCAGATCCCTTTTGCCATGAAGTCTTTCCATTACTTATTTCGAAGATGGGATTGTAAGACTTTTGCTGAGGAAAATGCTGTGCTACTGTCCAGATTGTCAGACTGAAATATCCTGTCTTGCTGGTGTTTTTTTTTTTTTATATGTGAATTTAAAAGCTTAGAATTTTAATTTTGGGATACCTACTAGTGGTGCGATAGCTGTTGCAGGTTGCTGTTTGAAGGCTGATGTGGGCCCCAGCAAATACTACAGGTATTCTAAAGCACATGAAACGTGTATCGGCAGTTGAAAATACTGTTTCCCATCTCAGTAGTACAATGCTGTACTAAATACAGCAATTGGACAGACTAAGCATTTACAGCAAGCACACCAAAGATGTAGTTTTTTGATAGGGGTATGACATTATGTTAATAGCATGCAGTCCTACTTGCGGTGTCCTTAATCTCTTCAGAAATTTAAGGCTCTAAGGGTGAACCTGTAGAGAGGGATGATAGCAACTGCTGGGGAGAAGAGCGCAGCAAGTATCAAAAGGCTTGTTGATGCGAGACTGGTGACAGAATTGCCATTGTGTTGAAGTAAGTATAACGTTAGTCCCTCGGTCTTTGAGGGAGAGGGATAGGAAACTGCCCAGCTGGAATCAACTTTAAAAAACATTGAGCCGTGGGCAAAACCCCCTACAATAAGAACAGGAGTGTAACTGGGCTACCTTATCTTGAGCACAGAGAACTGAAAATCCATGATTTTTCACATACCTTGTATCCTTCCTTTTTCTGAAGTGACTTAACACCTGCAGTTCACACTGAGGAAGGGAATTGCTGCCAAATGCCAGAGGAGATTTGGAATTTTGTCATAGCTTAGCTTCGGTGTTCTTCTAAACTTGAAAAAAGCAGTAAAGGAACATTAAAACAGGAAAACTTCATTACCAGAATGTAACATTTGCAGGTCTTTTACTGGAGCAAAAGCAGTATCAGCAATATAATTAGATATATTTTTTAGGTAGCTGGTAGTATTTTAAATAAATTTGCTGATTGCGCTGACAGAGGGGAGCATCTTTATCTGCAACGTGTAAAAAATGTTGTAGGCATTAATGAGTAAAGGTAGGTTGTAATACATTACAACAAAAATAATTATACTAATCAGCTCAACTGTATGTTTATAATAGCTCCTTATAGCCACAATGGCCACGTCATCCGAAGAAGTATTATTGATTGTAAAGAAGGTACGTCAGAAGAAGCAGGATGGAGCTCTCTACCTTATGGCTGAAAGGATAGCATGGGCACCTGAAGGCAAAGACCGATTCACAGTCAGCCACATGTATGCAGACATAAAATGTAAGTGAACGCTTCTCCTATTCCAGCTTCGGTAAGCAGTATTTCGAAAAACATTTAAATACAACCAAAGCTTATTTGCCATAAAACACCAGTAGGTACATTAGGAAGGTTGCAAGGGTCTGGAGCTTTGACTGGATTATTCTGTGTAGCAGCAGAGATCAGGACCACGGTGAAGTATCACTGGTTTAGTAAGGATGTTTCTGCAGAACTTCTGTAGTTCTCACATATTTAAGTTATACTGCATTTACCACTAACTTTTTATAAGCTTCTGCAATAAATTGAACAGGAAAATAGTCTATGCCATATGCCTGCCGAGCGAAGGGTGAGAGCAGGGCTGAGGAAGAGCATGGGATTTTCAGGGTCTAACACAGAAACTATTCTGGCATGTCATCTGTTAAGCTATGCATCGAAAGCTCCAGAAGCACTAGCTGCTGTAGTTTGGCCTAACTGGTCACATTCCAAGTAAGTGTTTGCTGTTGCAATAGCAGAGTACTTGCAAGTCAAAACGGAGCAGTAGAAGTCCATAGCATGCTGCCTTTCTGGCTCCAATTAGAGCTCATACCCAGTGTGCTGTAATGCCAAAGAAGGAATAAAAGGTTGTATGCGTCAGTTGGTAAAGGTTTAGTGATTATCGCTGTTCGAAGTCGCATACAAGTACCGCAGCATGATCAAAAGTGTGTGTGATGAATCAGAACGAATATGCTGTTTTCTTAAATAAAGTGTGATAAGGAGTTTAAAAGCTCTGTTCACCTATAATAATCAACTTTGTGAAGGGTTTTAGCTGTTTACTTACACTTAAGCAGCTTATATTTTAAATATTTCTTTGTATAGGCATTGAAGTCTTTCCAACTTAGGCGAAAGATGCTCTTTTTTGTCATCTAAAATAAAAAAAAAAAGAGGGGAGAGTCTTTGTAAATTTGCAATAGAGATGATGATTTAGTGGTGACATCTGGTTCATGTCTCCCACTTGAACTGGAGAAAGGGGTAAGAAAGTTAGGTTAGTGCCCTTTGCAGTGCTGCACTGAAGTCAGCACAGCACAGCAGTCCATAAAGGCAGTTGTTGTAGCCTCTGCTCCCTCTGGTTACGGGAAAGGAAGTAGGAGTTAGGTTTTTCTTATGAGTCATGAGGGTGTAATAGCACCTTGGAGGCATTGGTGATCGACTTTGGGAGTACTAATGGCTAAATGTACTTACACACCATTTGAAACCAGCATACCTCTGCTGTCGACAGACGTGCTGGTACTCCACCCTGCATCTGCTTTCTTACCACTTTCTTCTGTGGGAGCTGGTCCAGCTGGAAAAACAGAAGGGGGGTTACTTTTCAGTGGATCAGTTCCTTGGTTTGGCTTGCTGCACAAACACTAACAGTGGTACAAGAAAGGCAGCAGGAGGAAGGGGGGAGGGGGAATGAGGTTGTCACCTTGGAGCAGCAGCTTGGATGGGTACCAGGTTAAAGTGTCCGGGTGATGACAATCTAATTTTCAGTGGAGGACGTGGGAAATGCAAAGATGAATCAGGGCTCCTGTGCGGTAGCTGAAGGATAGCGAGCAATAGGCTACTAGTGTCTGTGTCGTGTGTTTGAGAAAGAACAAGGTGCAGGGTTCAAACTAATTTAAGAGGAAGACTGTCTGTTCCACTTTCATGGCTGGAATTCACGCACAGGATAATGGCATTTAATTGGATGATAACCACTTAGAAGCAAATACTCTAGGGAAAAGAGTTTCTTGTATAAGCTTACTGTCTGTTGCTAACTAATACTCTCTGTGTAATCTAGGCCAGAAAATCAGTCCAGAAGGTAAAGCTAAAATTCAGCTTCAGCTAGTATTGCATGCAGGGGACACAACCAACTTTCACTTCTCCAATGAAAGCACAGCAGTGAAGGAGCGAGATGCGGTAAAGGATCTTCTTCAGCAACTGTTGCCCAAGTTCAAAAAAAAAGCTAATAAAGAACTTGAGGAGAAGAACAGGTAAAGGGAAAGGAACCTTAAAGGGGTTTTTTTTGTTTTTTTTAAATTGTTACCCAACTATGGTATATTTCTGCAAACAGTAGTTGTTATTGCAACATTATTAGTGATACAGCACTTGTTTCCCTAGTAAAAATCTTTCCCTTTTCAATTTAGAGGCAGTTCCTTGAGACTTAGGTAACTAACATGTTGAGACTATGCTTGTGTTCTCAGTGGCACGTTCCTGAGGCGTGAAGGCAGCCAGCCCGGCTGCCACCCAGTCTTTGTTAGCCATGGCTATGAGGTGAAAGCACCCAACTGGCAGTCTGTCTCTTTAGTCTCTTAAGCATATATGTATCAGTTAGAAAAGTTGCTTGAAAGAAGTTTTTCTTTTCCAGAAAAAGAAAACCTTGCTTGATCTTTGATTTTTTCTTTTCCCTCCCTGTATAATCCCTTCCCCCCAAATCTTTTTTCCTGGTGTTTTATATACTCAACTGAATTGCGTTATGAATTGCAGACACATTTCATGCATCTGACTTGAGATGCAGTAGTTTGTTATTTGACATACAGGATGTTTATTCTAAAAGAATGTTTGGAGAAGGCATTCAGGACCTAAGTCCTTTTCCCAAAAGGGCTTTTAAGATACACTTCCATTCCTTTACAATGTTCTTGTGGCCAAAAGCCAAATGTCCTTTAAATGAGTTGTTGAGGCCATAGAGCACCCTTCTCTGTGCCTCCCCAGACAAGTTCCGCTTCATTCTAGCATCTGCTGTGAATCCTGTACCATCTAGCTTCTCTTTCCAAAGACTGTTCTAGCTTTGGACTTACATAAGGTAAAGCTAGATTTTTCAAAACATGAGAGCACTGCCTTATTGGGTAGATGAGATCTTTACGAGGAGATTTCCCAGCAGATGGGCAAGAACCCTTGTGCTGGAGCTCCAACACGTCCAGGATTAACTGGTTCCAGTACTGCAGCGACCACTAGGGTCTACATGCAGGCTGCCTTGGCACTGTCACCATACTAGTTTCTTTGTGCTATGTGCCTTATTTCCAGCAGTATTAATACTGAGTACGTGGGCAGTCTTAGCTCTAAATCTTTGTATCCTTAAATGGAATTTTACAGTATTATGCCATGTGGCCCTAACAGCTTTTCTAGTCACAGAAAAGGCAGAATCTCTGCACATACTTGCTCCTAGTCTGTTCTTTTGATGATTAGAAGTCCAAGTCCAGTGACAGGGCTTAATTTGCTCAGTTTGCAACAAATGAGGCAAAAAAAATTCAACCTGTTCTGGAAGGGTGCTACATCTAGAGTCCCTGTGGCACTTGCCCGATTTATTGATATGTGGGGGTCAGGTATGTACCAGAATTCCCAGCTTTAATGAAATAATGAGAATAGCAGACTGCTTCTTGCTGCACTAATTTGTCAGAATTGCCACTAATCCCTGTTTGTACAAACAAGAAAAACCTTAGTGGTTAAAACATAATGATGTACTGCCACAAAGTTTTCACTTCCACCTCATGTGTGTTTTGAGGTATCTTATCCCACACGTATTTTCTAATCTGTACTCTTGCACTAGAATAGAGACCTGTAATTACTGAATTTTAAGATCTTCAACAGGAATTCTGTCATGCTGCAATCTCCCCCCACCCCAGACCTTTATGGAATTTCAAGTAAATTCATTGCACTTTTGCAGTTCAGGAGACTCCAGTCCTGGATGTGCAAAGACAAGAGCACCACAGGATATTTTAGGATAAGTTGTTAGTCCCACATCTAATTTTTTCTTAGGCATTACTGTTTTCCACCATTTAATGCTATTCCTTAAACATTTTTTTAGTCCTTTAAGTCTTCTGAGACAAGTATAGCTACGGAGGTTGGTTGTTTACACAGTCTTATTAAGAAGTGCACAGCATTTTGGAATAAAAGTTGGTTTCTGTTCCTTTTGTGAACTCATGTTAGTTATGGAAATTGTAGTGATTTATTCTGCAGTGTTTCAATTCTATTCAATACATTCTTTTACCAGAATGCTGCAAGAAGATCCTGTTTTGTTTCAGCTCTATAAAGACCTTGTTGTGAGCCAAGTAATCAGTGCTGAAGAATTCTGGGCCAACCGTTTAAGCCTGAATGCAGGGGATAATTCTGCAGCACCTAGTAAGCAGGATGTGGGCATCTCTGCAGCATTTCTGGTATGTTGAACCTCTAACTTAAAGGATTTTGCAGCAAACAAATTGGGGAAAGTGAGAGTTCTGCTCATATACTTTGTTCCCATATACTTTAATGTTGTTCTTTCCTGGTTCCTCAACATCTCTCTGCATGTTAGTTAGACTATTGCAAGTGTAAAGGAGAAAAAAAATAGTAAAGGTTTTATACAAATCTGCAACCTCATAATTTTGTCAATTTAAGATGCTCAATTTGAACTTTAAATCGACAATAGGCAGATGTCCTTTATACCACTGCTCTGCCTTCCATAAAACAGGAATAATGGTGAATTTACAGTTGCTAGATTACAGTAAATTAATAAGCTAAAGAGAGTATCTGTTACAGCATTGACATGCATAAATGGAGCTGCAAAGACTTTACACACAAAAGGTTTTATTCCCTCCCCATTTTTTTTAAACCGGTTCATACTTTCAGCTACTTGAAGAACAACTTGTGTATCTGAAAGCTTTTATTATCCCTCTCTTTCTCTTTCAGTTATATTACCCATTTGTAGAAACCATGCTTCAGTAATCTCAATGCAGTCTAAAATTAATCTAGGTACAATCTTCAGATTCCTCCCACAGAGGCACATTTCTACTTCTGCAACAAAATTCAGACAGATTATGACTCTTTAGCTGGAATCCCATTTGCACCTTTATAATGACATCAAGGGTTCGGGAGGGAA